TGTCAGCAATCCTTCGGAGACAACGATGATCGAACACAGAGAGTCGTCTAACATCCTCAGCTCGGAGAGGCCAGGTTTCACAAGCATAGAGCAAAACTGATCTCACCGTCGCGTTGTAGATCCGACCTTTTACAGCCAGACTAACATCACGAAGGCGCCAAAGATGGCCCAGATTGGCATAAGCCCCTCTGGCTTTCACTATACGAGCATTGATCTCATCACTCACACCACCACCAGCACTTATGCAGCTACCTAGATACACGAACTTCTCGACTACTTCTATCTGCTCACCATCCAGAGTGAGTACAGGATTAGAATCCTGCCAGTCTTGTAGAAGTACTTTGCACTTCGAAGGTGCAAAGCACATACCATACCTACGGACATTGATTGCCAACTGATTAAGTGCGGATTGCATAGCTTGGGCATTCTCGCACAGTAAGACAATATCATCCGCATACTCAAGGTCGAGAAGTCTTTTTTCAGGCAACAGATCCACATCACCATTACTTACATCCGTCAGAGCTGTTTCCAGAATGTCATCGATGGCAAAGTTGAAGAGGAATGGTGAGATTGGGCAACCCTGCCTAACCCCACTGCTCGAATGGAACAATTGAGAAAGGTGGTTGTATGCCCTCACTCTGCCTGAGGTGTTTGTGTATAGGGCTTTTAGGATGTTAATAAACTTCTCAGGCACACCCTTCTTCAATAGACAATCCCAGAGAACAGTTCTGTCCAACGAATCGAAGGCAGCCCTGATATCAAGAAACACTACGATTGTTGGCCTTTGATAAGTATGGCGGTGTTCTAACACTTGGCGGAGGGTGAAGATATGATCAATACATCCTCGACCGGAACGAAACCCAGCCTGCTCCTCGCGAGTCAATCCTTCTCGGGTTCTGAACAACCTACGAAGTATGACGGAAGCCAATAGCTTGGACGCAACCGAAAGTAGACTTATCGCTCGATAGTTGTTACAGGAACGACGTGAACCCTTTTTAAAGATAGGGACAACTATCGACTCATTCCATGACGTTGGTACACTCTCTAGTTCCCAGATCTTTGTAAACAACGTCGTTAGTCCCTTAGTCAAAAAGTCACCACCATCTTTAAAAAGAGCCGGAGGTAAGTCGTCTGGGCCCGGTGATTTGTAACGTTTCAAGAGTTGGAGTTCCTTGCGGACTTCCGCCTCATTTGGTGGATCAGTCGTCACCGGCCATGGAGGGCAGGACAGTCTGACCGATGTTGCCGGAGCAGCAGGCCAGTTGAACTGCCCTTCAAAGAATTCTGCCCATCGTCCAAGACGTCGATGGATGTTAGTGATTGGCGTTCCGTCATCCTCGCAGATTGTTTCGCTCACACCAGACTTCTTGCTGCCAGTGGCTCGGATGAGTTGGAAGAGCTTCCGGTAATTACCAGATGCAGCTGCTGCTTCCAACTCACTGGCACGCTCCGACCACCAGGCTTCTCGGTCCTTACGCAAGCTTTGCCCGATTTCATTACGTAACATCCTTCGTCTGTGGTCAAACTCACGGTCACCCGGAGTAGACCGACGGGCTTCAATCAGTTGTAAGGAACCAGAAGAAACCCAGTGCTTGTAAGCGGGGCGTTTCGCGAACCCACAACAGACTGTACCCGCCATTTTCATGGCGTCATGCAATTGCAACCAATGCTCATCTACACTTTTCGGTGGAATGGTAGCTAGCCTAGAAGCTAGCTCGGTTCGGTACTTACTAGCATCAGAAGTTGCAGCCAGCTTGCTAACATCAATCCTTTGGTGGCGGTCACTTCGTTGTCCACTGAAAAGTAAGGTAAGATTGGCGCAGACCAGAGCATGATCAGATTCCAGATAGGTACTCCAAAAGGAGCGGCAGTCTTGTACACAACCGCGCCAGCGGTAGCTGATCGCGATGTGATCAATCTGAGTCCAGGCTTGAGATGCAGAAGGAGGACGCCAGGTGGCACATCGGCGATGACTGTGCCGAAAGTTAGTGCTAGCCAGAAACAGGTTGTGGTCTGTGCATAGTTGCAGTAGACGTTCCCCGTTATCTGTCCTGCGACCAACGAGTCCCCATCGGCCACCTAAACGACTCTCTTCTGTGCCTAGACGCCCGACCTGAGCATTCAAGTCTCCAGCTAGTACTACAATATCTGTCGAGCGCACTTTCTGGAGAAGAACAGTTAGCTGATGGTAGAACTCAACCTTGATTGCATCCGGGCTGCAATCTGTCGGGGCATAGGCGGAGATGACGAAAAGACGTCGTTTCTCACGCCGATTTCTTCTCACTTTGATGGAACTTTCTAATCTAACAGCACATAACTGACTGTTAATGGGGATCCAGTCGACTAGTGCTGCCTCAGCTCTTGTGCTTAGTGCGACACCAACGCCAGCAAGACCAGACGAAGATGCCACAGGGTCCCCGGATAAACGCACATAAAACAAGCTTTTTGAAGTGACAGATGGAGAGCGAATTTGTAGTACTTCACCGGAGTCTTGAATACGGGTCTCGGATAGACAACACACATCAATATTAAGACTTTCCAAAGACATAGCCAGTCCTATCTGTTGTCCGACCTGCATAAGTGTGCGAACGTTGAAGGTAGCCAGTTTGAATGGTGCACGCGGTTTCAGAAAAACTGCTTCAGTACTCATGTTCGGTAGTAACATACAATTTTGAACCAGGCAGTGACTCGGGAACGTTTAGATAAAGCTGAATTTTCACCATAGGTGAGCTGCTGTCTAGGTCGAAACGCATATATAAAGTAGGAATAAGAGAGGGTGAATAAATGACGTGGTAGAGTAATAATAATAATAATAATAATAACAATAATAATAATAATAATAATAATAATAGTACGAGTTATTTCAGTGTTAATCAGATAGAAAGGAATATTTTCCATAAGCAAATTGTTCATCATAGTTTTAGTGAGTGGGCTGGGATACTGCCCGGGTGCCCAGACCGAAGCAGGTGGTTTTCTTAGGGATAAGATCCAAATTACTTGTTATTAAGCATTCGCCAAATGGCGGCTAGCTGTATTCCATTCTTCTGTTCAAGCTGTTTTGATCAGTTTAGTACTTTTGCCGTCAATCTTTATGCGTGCTAAACCCTTTCTGAAGTATTTTGGTCCTTTTAAAGTTATTCTTGTATTCCGTTTTTAACGAATGTAGCATAATCGATGATCAATTTTCAAATTTCTTAAGATCAACTAAGAATTTGGAAATAATATTCAATCAGTGTCTATCTGGAAGTTTCTCTCAAATAAACTTCGTTGTATTCATGATAATTGATCTTATAAACAACGTCCTGTTTCTCTTCCTCTAGTATTCTGTCCTAAACTGTAACTAACGTCAATCATATGATATCGCTGATCTGAAAATAAACTATTATATTACGTTTGATTAAAATCCCATGAATTTACATCACTCTTTTTGGACGATATTGGGATGACAACGTTGTTCTTTCATTCTCTTTTTATATATTCTAATTGTTTTTTTTGACGGAGTTTTGTTCTCTGAGCTTGATGGTTTGGTCGTGGAGCTTTCATCGTTCATCCGAACGACATCATCAGCACAAAATTCAGATAGAAGCTCTACGACTAAACCATCCAGCTCAGAGAAGTAAACTCCATCAAAATCATCCACCTGAGATACAAATCTTTTCCACCATCTCAATTTAGTTTTTCTTCCATTTATAACAATCCTTGAAAATTCTTTAGAGTAGTTAATTACTCTAAGTGTAGACAAAATTAAATCCAATTCCATCAGTTGGTTGGAATGAGATTACAGCTGCTTTTGATTAACTTTTATGACTATTAGCTTTTGTGATAATTCTAGAATTTTAATAGTTGAATTCATGAGTCGAACTAAGCGATATAGATAAATATACATTGGTAGAAAAGTGATGAAAACCTATAAATAAATGGAATATACCCATTGAGACACAAGATAAGAAAAAATGGTAGTTATTATATGAAATCATATGACACTTTGAGGTTACAATCTAATCATGAAGAGTTAGATGGTGGTTGGAGGTAGTCGACAGAAAACCCTGGACCCGGGTTTCGTGCTACTTGGCACTCGTTTGCAAGGTGTACCTGTAATCTTGAGGGAACTGGTGCTCTTTGACGATTCGATCCCGTGTCACCCAGCTTCACAGTCAGAGGCGTTACCAGTGAGCTATCCGGGCCGCGACCGACCTCCTGTAGGACTGAGATGTAATCACAATTGAATGATCACTGGATGGTGATCAATGTCATGAGGGATCGAATTTGTCAGGGAGCACCAGTTCCCTCAAGATTACAGGCACACCTTGCTGACAAGTTCCAAATAGCACGAAACCCGGGTCCAGGGTTTCCTGTCGACTCCCTCCAACCACCATCTAATCTCACAATAGTGCACGCAGTGTCGAGTCACCTAGACTGGTGGCCACATTGCAACGTGGTCGATAGCATTCGATTTGCATTAATAAGGAATAGACACGCATGACACTGATCACCACCCAGTGGTCAATGAATTGTGATTACTTCTGAAGAGTCCCGTACTAGGACGAAATGGCTTTGAAGTGCTTCAAGGTTTCCAATGATGGTTTAACTCTGATCGATTCATGATTTCAATGAAATATAACTTAATAGTTGGCTTACTGCTTTAAATACATAGTTATATAATTAACAAATTTTTTAATGAAATAATTCAGTAATTTCAGAATAAATAGAAGTTTAATTTGTTTTTTTTTAATATCATTTAACGACGTAGTCGATTTTAAATTATTAGGTTAAGTGTTTGTTTCTTTGAGTGTTCTAATTTCCAGATGACTGAAGATAATGAACATGAAGCTTTAAAAGTAAATCTGATCTAACATTTGACCAAACTCATTGATCATTTATGCATCTAATATTGTTGCTTTATTTCTCTTTTTTTTACAATTTCAAATGATTTATAACAATCTTTCTCATAAAATTTCACAACTTATATATAAATTTTTCCTTGGAAAACATATATTTAGATAAAATTCAAATTGAAAGACAAGTACAAGTTGTCGGTCACAATTTTCAAGTACATAGTTATCGATCACCACATTTTTGTGATTATTGTGGGGAAGTATTATTTGGTTTGGTACGTCAAGGTTTACGCTGTTCGGGTAAGTGTTTATACTTTAATTATACATAAAAATAAAATATTTAACTGCCTTCGTTATATATATATATATATATATATATATATATATATATATATATATATAGAGAGAGAGAGAGAGAGAGAGATCGAAGTTACAGTCATCAGTTTTGTGAAGAATTAAATTGGCTAATAGTTTTATTACTGTATAAATGAACCTTATAAATGTAATTAATTTAAGTTGCCATGTTTCGGTAGACTTCATACAACGTTTGCTAGGTCTAAAAAACAATTTAAAATCCCGTTTTATTTGATCATACTATTAATTTGTTTGAAACATTTGGTAACATTTATTAAGTCGACATTTGGAATTAGTTTATTTGGATACAGATATCAGATTGTTGTATTTACTGAAGTAATTAACTTCTGGTAAAATTAGCAACCATCTATTAGTACATTCTGCTTTGATGGTCATTACTTTAATATTATTATTATTAGTGGTTTTACTCAATATTATATTTTTGATACAATATAGAATTCTCAGTACAATGTATTTCAACAAGTTTCCGTTTCTTATTTTTCAAACGATCCTAACGATAGACATTTAATGGTTGCCAATTAGATGTTAGCAGTTCGGGAATCGACATCTAAATAGTGTATATTATTTTCGATGCATATTGCCAGCAACCACGATATCTGTGACTGTAATCTTTTGTGCATTGTACAATGAAAGGTTATGAACTTTCCATAAACTTACCTGAATAGATTGTTCGGTTAATAAACATATTGATATGTTAAAACAAAAAAATTAGATGACTTGTTGAAATATCTAGGTGGCAGAAACAAGTAGCCCAGATAGTTAAGCTGGCAGTTACCAATTTAAGATACCCTTTAATTTATGTAATGAATATGAGCTTATATTTAGTAGCTTGTATTTTTCCATTCTTGATTCTAAGAAAAAAAGTTCCAACATGGCAATATTTGGGCAAAGTTTTTATGTCAGACATCTACCAATGTAAACTAATCCATCTCAGTCTTTAGTATTAAATAATAGCTATTGTAAATTATTTAGATTATCTTGAGAATTATATTTTATCTTGACTGAAGTATTTCATAATCAACCTATCTTATTCAACTTTAACAATAACTGGATAATAAATGTTTTTGTTTTAATCTTATCATTATAATGGTATATTGATAATATTAAATGGCTGTTCCAAAAAAATAACTCCTCTTCAACATACAAATATATTAATGTAGGAAATAATCGATTCAAGTAAATTTCAGTGATATTTCTCAATTTTTTTTTGTTTTTCCTATATTTCTGGCTTCTTTACAACATTATTAGAACTAGATAAATTATCGTAAAAAAAGGGGATTAATTTGCGTGTTTCAATATTTAAAATATCATGCTTTAACTTATGCAATGTTGCTAACGAATATGAAAAAGAATTTTTTATATTATATAAATAAATTCCTTGTTGTATTTTACAATTAAACTCAGTGTGCTTTATGTAAAGAATAAAATAGTAAAGGTTTTTAATTTCAAATTTATCAAAGATTTTCATAATCAATGACATATAATTTGTTATTATTATTATTTCTATTTTTGGTCCAAGGAAATATTAATCTTATATTAACTTGGTATTGTTTACTTGAATCTTCCCACTGATGATTAGGACTGCAATTGATCAATCTTTTATTGCTTATAATGCTTGTGAATGAAGGCAATATCGAGGTTATGCGCACAGTATGTACATATGTCAATAAGAAACTAATCAATTGCAGTCCTAAATAACAATGGGAAGATACAAGTAAACAATATCAACTGGATTTAAAACTTTACCCCATTGCACAAGCAAGTGGCTATCAGGACTCAATAGCTAAGTGGATAATGAGATAGTGTTTGAAGTGAACGGTACTGGGTTCGATTCCCGGAGTGAACATCAATTGTGAGGTGCAGGTACATTCAGCTGACAAGTCCAAAATAAGCGAAACGTGTGTCCTGGATTCCACTGCTTGCTACTATCCATCTTTGCTTATTAATGCTATGTGTTTCATTTCATATTCCTCACTGTTGTTTATTGCCATTGCTGTCATTGGAAAAAATTCTGAACAAGATTAAGTGTTGAATAGAATTATTAGCTGATGATATCAACTGTGAAATTCAACAATCTATACAATTTTATAGTGTTAATATGCATACTAGCAAGAAGCAAGGTAAATTTCCATAAACTATTTTAGAGGAAGTCGCAACATGAAAATTAGGATAGAAATTCGAAGATGGTTATTTATCACAAACTCACAACAGCCAGAAAATCTTTGAAATTCAGAAATCATAGAATAGTTTTGTCCTAATATAAAGTTCATTAGTAGAGCATATCAAAACTCTGGAAATAATTGAATTCAAAAATCTTAGATACTGCAGTAAGCTCCTTAATTTAAGATCACTTGGTTAGAATCGAATGATTTGCAATAATGACATTATTCCATTTCCGATACACTGTAATAACCATGCTAGTGGGTAATTGCTCTACACTTGGTCTAATTGTAAACTATTTCTGAATTGTGATCAGATTCGTGGGAATCCGCGTCAAAGTTAATTACAAGAGAACACATTATTACTGTTTATTTGATAACAATTCTAGAGGTCAATCTAATTTAAAAGTAGCTTTTTGTTTGGGATTAATGTTGGACGGTTGAACCTAGATTCCAAAATGTGAATAATTAAAATCCGTCTCGATGATTTAATGGTAAGAAACGGGCCACAAGATCTAACACTCATTGGTCCTTTCTCAAACGAACTTGGCGTATATAGTCTCTTCTCATTCTAGAACGTGTTACCTGGTTTAATCTAGGATAACAAGCAGTCTTCAGGTCAAATCAACCACAATAAAAAAACGTAGAAAGCATGTTAGACTCCGTCTATGATGATTCATTTAATAAACTAATGTACACTAATGTTAATTAATTATTTTTGAATTTAATGAATTAGTGAACATAATGAATCAATCTAATTTTTCAAAATCTTTATTAAAATGTCTGTAACTGTGTCATGTTAATCAGAAATACTTAATTGTTTTAAGTTACTTGAAAAGGTATTCTATCAACTATCATCCTTAGGGTAAGTTCGTTAATAAAACATTTAATCAAAACAAATGATTATAGGTAGAATTGACAAGTAGAAAAAGTAGTCCGATTATTATTTGTAAATAATCTTAATATACAAATAAATGAGCAGTATTAGATTTTTTTTACATAATGCAATTTGATTGTTAGTGTTATTTATTTTGTGAAGATTGTATTTAGCGATTTTTATCATTAAATAATAACAATTAGAAAGTCAGTAAGAATCAAATAGCGTTAAACAAATTGTATTGGTCGGTATTCGATATACTTCTTAAACTTCGTAAACAGTTCGTCCTGATAACCGTTACTTAATAATGTCTCAAATGGTGTACAAATCAGAAGACGAGTACGAAGTGTTGATTGCGTTTATTATCGCACGACGCACAGTTCACCAATACCACAGACACGCGAAACAATAATTGAAAGGCTAATGATGAAAAGCAGACAAGCGAGTGAGCGTGTGAGTTTGTGAGTCACAATGAATAGGATTATATATATATATATATATATATATATATATATATATATATATATATATATATATCAATTAAGCGATTAACATTAAAACTAGCAGAATGAATATGTGCGTAGGCAGTAAGCAATGCTCAAGTATACATATTCATACAAGCTCAACAATAATAACGGTACAATGGCATAGATAAGTTGTTGTTGTACGGATGACTCTGTTTGTTAAATAAGTTAACAAAAGGGCTTAATCGAATTAAATGTGAACAAACTCAATTGCACGTGAGCTGCTATGAAGTGTTTCATCTTAGTTTCAGAGGTACCAACACTCTGCAACCGTGACGTCGTGGACGATTTGACTCAGAGAACTTAGATTTCATGGTACTATTAAGAAACTGAACAAAATTGAATTATTCATATTTTCTTATTTCAGACATTTCAAATATGGTACTTGTTTATATCTAGCATTAAGATTAATTTCCCGACATTCAATTGTAAGTCCGCAAAATGTGAGATCGATTCTGTCTAGAGTGGGGCAGATTATTATTATTATTAGTGGCTTTATTCAATATTATATTTTTGGTACAATATAGAATTCTCAGCACAAAGTATTTCAACAAGTTTCTCTTTCTTATTTCTTGATCAGTTCCTTGAGATAAATATTGAGTGGTCGCCAGTTAGATGTTAGCGGTTCAAGAATCGACATCTGATAAATGTATATCCTTTTCGATGCATATTGCCAGTAACCATGATGTCTCTGACTGAGCTCTTTTGTAACATGTACAGGGAATTGTCGTAAACTTTTTACAAACGCGCCTGAATAGGTTATGAGACTAATAAGCATAATGATGTGTTAAAAAAAAACAAGAAAACAGATGACTTGTTGAAATATCCAGATGGCAAGAACAGGTAGCCCAGATATTCAAGCAGGCCTTCGAATTAAGGTACCATATTATATAATGAATAAGGTTGGAAAATGGAATATCATATGATTTCGACTCATCATTTCAGTATAGTCATTCTTTAATTCAAGATCTGAGTATACTGAATTCATTTTAATCATGTATTAATGAGTAAAAAAATAAATAAACAGTTAAACAGTACCTCACTAAGATTGGTTAATGATCATATTCTCCTTCAAATTACACTAAAGCATAGAGATTTGTAGATATGGATACAATTTGTCTTATGTATTCATGTATTTCTATGTTGAAAAGTCTTTTCTTGAGTAACAAGATAAAAGAATATAAATAATAAAGGATAATAGAGAAAAGATAATTTAACACTTTGTCGTTGTATTTTGTACTTCAGTGTAAAAAAACCATCATGATCATTAGAAATTATTCTTTGTTTACTTCTAAGGAAAAACAACAACAACTTATTGTTGCGTATAGTCATCAGTATAATTGTTGAATGAGTAGGCATAATGTC